CAGAGATTAAAACCACTATCAGGGGTTTAAAACATTCAAATGATGAATATTTTCTCCACATTCAACTTTCCTATTTGGCATGTGTGGGAAAGGGATGGATTTTCAAGATTAATAGTAGATTCTTTTAAAAATAGCTAGATGATTAATCCAACTATATATATGCTACTTAAGGTATGGATATTTTGCAGAAGAAAAACCTAACACATCACCCCAGTACCTGGTATAAAGTTCCTTTTTTTCTCTATATTTGGTGGTAAAGTCTATATGAAGCAGGTTGGTTTCAGTTGGCAGGACCAGCAAGTTACCTTCACTGTCCTACTTCAGGGCTATATTGACTCTCCAGCCCTATGTCAAAATCTAGTCCTCAGGGAGCTTGATCATCTTTTAATTCCACAGGACTTCATGCTGTCCCATTACATTGATGATATCATACTATTGGACCTGATAAGCAGGATGTAGCACCTACCCTAGTCACGTTGGTAAGACACATGCATGCCTGAGGGTGAAAAATGAACCACACAAAAAGGGCTGGCCTCCTTGTTGAATTTTCTAGGGGTTCAGGGGTCTAGAACACATCAAAATATCCATTCTAGGAGAAAGTACAAGTTGCTGCATCTGGCCTCTACTACCAGGCACAACACCTAGAGAGCTTCTTTTTATTTTGAAGGCATCACGTACCTTACTCAGGATTGCAAACAATACCCATTTACTGAGTTACCTAAAAGGCTGCAAGTTGTAGGTGGGGCCCAGAACAAAAAAGGCTCTGCAACAGATCTAGGATGCCATGCAAACTCCTCTGCCATTTGGTTGGTATGGCCCGGCAGATCCAAATTGCCAGTAGCAATGACTGTGGCAAACCAGGGTGCCATATGGAGCATTTTTCAGGCTCCTATAGCCTGATGGATCTGATTGTATTTCTTTCTTTCTTTTTTTTATTTCGGCATATTATGGGGGTACAGATTTTAAGGTTTTAATAAATGTCCATTGCCCCCTACCCCCACAAGTCTGAGTCTCCAGCATGACCATCCCCCAGATGGTGCACATCTCACTCATTATGTATGTATGTACCTGCCCCCCTCCCCTCTCCCACGTGCCCAATACCCTATTACTGTAGTACCTATGTGTCCACTTAGGTGCTGCTCAGTTAATACCAGTTTGCTGGTGAGTATATGTGGTGCTTGTTTTTCCATTCTTGGGAAACTTCACTTAGTAGTATGGGTTCCGCTCTAACCAGGAAAATATAAGATGTGCTATATCACCATTGTTTCTTAGAGCTGAATAGTACTCCATGGTATACATATACCACATTTTATTAATCCATTCTTGGATTGATGGGCACTTGGGCTGTTTCCACAGCCTTGCAATTATGAATTGTGCTGCTATAAACATTCGAGTGCAGGTGTCTTTTTTGTAGAGTGTCATTGGATCTTTTGGGTAGATGCCCAGTAATGGGATTGCTGGATCAAATGGTAGATTCACTTGTATCGCTTTAAGGTATCTCCATATTGCTTTCCACAGAGGTTGAACTAGTTTGTAGTCCCACCAGCAGTGTAGGAGTGTTCCTCTCTCTCTGCATCCACGCCAGCATTTATTGTTTGGAGACTTTTTGATAAAGGCCATTCTCACTGGAGGTAAGTGATATCTCATTGTGGTTTTGATTTGCATTTCCCTGATGATTAGAGATGTTGAGCATTTTTTCATATGTTTGTTGGCCATTCTTCTGTCTTCTTTAGAAAAGTTTCTGTTCAAGTCCTTTGCCCACTTTTTAATAGGGTTATTTGATTTTTTTCTTGCTGATTTTCGTGAGTTCTAAGTATATTCTAGTTATCAGCCCCTTATCGGATGCGTAGGATGCAAAAATTTTTCTCCCATTCTGTAGGTTGTCTGTTTACTTTCATGACTATTTCTTTGGCTGTGCAGAAGCTTTGTAGTTTGATCATGTCCCATTTATTTATTTTTGTTCCTGCTGTGATTGCCTTTGGGGACTTCTTCGATTGTATTTCTTTCTAATGCTCATGGAAAATAGTTTATTTGGGTTGATACTCTTACCCAGATAATTGTGGCATGCTAGCTGTTATACCTTCCGTACTTTTACTTTGTTTCAGAGGGGACAAATATAAGGTATTCTTACTCTGAAAATTCCCCAATAATATTTTCTTTTCCAATGTTAGCAATGTAACTGTTTTTCTAATGAAGAGGTTAGAATGTTTCTCTAGACGCCAGGAGGAACATTCTGAAAAGTTTCCAGCTTCCTTGTTGTAGCTTCCTTGATCTTTGCTGTATGAAAAACTAAATTATAAAAGCAGAAACTGTATAGGATTAGCATTCGATCTAAAAAAAAAAAGAAAGAAAGAAAACCAGAAACTCTTCTGTAGCCCATCTCAGTCTGTGTGTCACAGTGGGGAAAATCAAATAGGACATTGACAGTTCAGGCCTGAGCGCTGTCAGGGAAGCAAAGTATTCTTAAGAAAGATTGTGCTGATCCTAAAGGGGCTCCACACAGGGGTACCTGATCCAGCTGATGGCAGGTAGCCTCTGGGTGGCTATGTGCATGGGGGAGAACTTGTCTTGATCAAGAGGATTTGTGCATGTACTATAGGGAGGAAGGAAGACGTGTGGGAGAGAGGGTGAGAGGCTGAGCGTGGGTAGATGGGAAGGATAGTTGGTGGTTATACTTTAGTCTTGCCTAGTTACTAGGCCCATCAGTCCAAGCCCTACAGAGAGAGGGACTATAGGATCAAGCTGAAGATGTTATTTCTGAACCAAGGGCAGCACTGTTTCTGTACTTAGGTAACAAAGTATAACAGGGAATAAGGAAGGGGAAAGGGTAATGGAGAAAATATTTAAATTGGACCACCTGTAACTTTTGTAATATTTGCAAGGTTCAGGGTAAGAGTTCATTTGGAGGCCTACACGCCATGTATAAAAATATATGAAAGGTTTAAATCAACTAATAGACTGTTAAATAAAATATCTTACCTTTCCTATCATGACAAATATACCTTCTTGTCAACCTGAAAGGCCAGGATCGAATTTAGAATACTTAGTGTATTTTGAAGATTTTTTTCTTAGTTTACTGAGGAAATTTAAAAACATAAAGCTGTCACTAACAAGTATGTATCAGGAATGGTTGGGTGATACAGAAGACTATACATCCAGATACCTGAGGTCTCCAAAGCTACTGAACCCATTTTAAAGGATCACTCACTCTCTAGAAACATTGGTGAAACAATAGACTTCCTTAAAAAAGACTAAAGGTTGTTGTCCTTAAGCAGTTGCACCTAAAGCCTAAGGTGAAAAGGATTTATCTGAAAGAGATTTATGGGTGTGCCTTTTGTATAATGAAGTGAATCCCAATATGATTCATATAAGTTTCACAAATTAGATTTAAACTATATTAGCAGAAATTCCAACAGCATTGACCAAGCAGAACCAATACGAGGCTCTTGAGATGACACTACCTGGATAAATTCCTACTTGGACTCTCCTTTTACTTTAAATGATGATAAAAGACCCTAGCTTACAACATGGCATTTCTATCTTCTGCCTGCCTTAACTATGTAACACTACCTGATAATATATTTTTAAATGTGAACACTACCTGATAATGTAATTTTACATGTCAACGCTAGTGACCAAAAAGAGTTTTGGATGCATTAAATTAACCAAGTACCTACTAAGTGAAAAACACAGTGCTACAGGAAAGATAGATAAATTCTTTAGGGTTCAAACTATTAAGAAATGTATCTGCTATAGGATGGTGACATTGATACACATATATGAATGATTATTAAGTTATGAGATGTATTACCATAGAGTACCAGAAAAGGTATTACATTACTAAAAAGTATCTATGAAGCTTTATGTAAATATAGAAGGAGGCCTTCCACCCTCAAAGCCCTAACCTTTCCCGTTCTCTGATCCTGTACTCTGTCCACCTACTTCACTTTTTTGCCTTAAACAGATTATAGTCATTGGGTCAATTTTCTCCCATTCCTCTTTTTTTTAAAAAAAATAGGAAATATTGTTGACCTACACAAAAGTATAGAGAATACTTACATTCATGAACCCATGATCCAAGCAATATATTACAAATAAAGCTGAAGCCCACCATATAACCCTCCCTAATTAAATTCCGCTCCCTCTTTCCATAAGACATAGCCACTATTCTGAATAGATGTTTATCATTTTCATACGTGACTTTCTACATGCTACATATGCATGCATCATTCTTATGTATTCATTTCAGTACATATACATGTACCCATGATCAATTTACAGTGATTGTTTTGCATATTTTTAAACCTCAAGTACATGTTATCATAGTGTTCATATACTTCTGGAACTAGCTTTTTTCCCTTTTCCAGTTTTTCTACTGCCACCACTCAATCTTTGCCCATCTAGAAGGTCTTTTCTCTGTGTTCCAACCCCTAAGGATTGTAGTCATTTCCCCAGTCCAGTATTTACTTTCCTGTTCAATTTAACAGAAACAGTCTCAAGTTAGTGAATTAATGCTGGTCCTACCATAGGTGAGGCTCAAAGTTTTCCCATTACTCTAAACCAGTGGTTCTCAACTTGATTGAAATTCAGAATCAACTAGAAGACCTGAAAAAGTCTGATTTCCAGCCCACCTTCAGAATTTCTGATTCAGTAGGTCTTGAGTGGGCCTGGGTATTTGAATTTCTACCAAGTTCCCGGGCAATGCTGATGCTGCTCATCCACAGCAGCCCAGTAGCACCATCTGGCCTCCAGGCGAGCTGGGTGGGTCATCCATCAGCATTCCATAAAATGTGATAGAGGCTAGATCTCCATCTCTCTTTTTACATAAATTGTTTAAACTTGATATTTTAAGTAACTGGGTGTTCAATAAAAGAGCTTCAAACATAATTGAAACTGATCTCTTTCAATGACGTTAAGCTGGGCCAAAGCAATAAGAAAGGTACAGCAACAGATATGAGCCAGTGTTATTTATCTAAAAAAAAAAATCCTGCAGCTTATTATTCATTTAAAAAAACTTTTATTTTTAACTTGAACAATTACTGTCAGATATATTGTCACCTAAAACACAGGAGAAGAGCCAGCTATCAGTGGATCTGACTTTTTGGGTGATGAACTTTGGAACAAAACCAGTGTTCATAAAATTCCCATGTGCTACTGAAAATCAGAGAATCTCAAGTCCTTGAAGAATAAATTCATAGTTTCTCACTTCATCCATGTCTTTCTATGCCATCGAACTATAGGAAGGAATAAAAAAAAAATTACCAACTGTACAATATTAACATGAACCAATGACTTTCTAAAACTAAGAAAATAGTCTATCCTATATTTGTTGTCTCAACAGCAGAAATAAACATATTTTCTATTTTAACCTAGACCCTCGGGTGTCAGTGTGCTTGTATATCATCTGATGTCTTCAATAATCTGATCACATCAACCTCATCTGCTTCTTGTCAAATACTAAAAATGCCTGTTTTTTTTTCCCCTCAGACTATTCAGGAAAATAAATGTCTTTCCCTCTTAAAAAAGACTGTGCTCTTTCCATAAACCAAAATCTCTTAGCCCTCTAGGCTCTCAGGTTCCATAATTGTAAAATAGGGGAAGAAAAAAGATAGATGAGATATACATTGAATTGATTATCAATTCAGCAATAATAAATATCTTATAACTAATTTTTTTTTCTTTTGACCATCACATGAAATACAAAAATTTAAAAGTGAACGAATACTTAGGCATCAATCATTAATTGTAATCTTATTTGAAATTCTTAAATTTTACAACTTTATAGGTAGTCACATTCTGAAAGGCACTGTCTCCTAGTTAGTATATCATATTTCTGTGGCCACCAAATGATGCAGGCCTATCTAGTGTATATTCCAATCACTTTTGCCACTTGTTGTAGTAACTGTGTTATAAGCAAATATTGGTCTCAGCTACGAGATCTAATATATTTCCCATCTGAAGAAGTCGCATAGCTACAGCTCAAAGTACTTGTGACTGTAAAAAAGTACATTTCAGAACATGCTGCATTCTATATTATCTAGTATACACACATATTATTAACATAAAAATGATTAAGAAAACTAAATTTAAAAAAATATTATTATTTATTTTACTGAGAAAATGTAGAAATATAAAATGTGTAAGTCAGGAAGAATTAGGCGATACTCAACCTTGGTTCTCCCAGGCCAGCCTCTACTGGGTCTAAATCTGTTTCAGGTTGTTCTTCTAGTTCTTCATTTTCATCCTCTCCTTTCTCCTCCTCACTTCTGGCTTCTTGGGCCTCCTCATCAAAGTTTTTGAACATATATTCAGATGCTTCATTAATAAAGAATAATATGGCCTTTGGAACAAGAACTTTACGGAAAAAATATCCCAATTTATAATCAGTAGTGGAATTCAGTACTCCACTCTCAGGAGGATAGAAGTAGGTAAAAAAAGAACCTCTCGGCACATTCCTACTGGTTGGTACAACACTTCCATGGCCCTCACATTTCTGCTGTTTGACAGTATTCACAATGACATTTTTCCCCTCTTTCCAGTAGATCTCACACCCTGTGCTGCTGATGATTTTTGGCCCTAGGGACAAGAAGGGATTGGAATTATCTGGTTCTGATTGCATTTGGTATGTTTTCGTCAGAACTTCATTGAAGAAGTATTCGTTTGACTTAAAGACAAATTCTATGGTGAAGCTCATTGGTTCCTCAACTCCTGAAAATTTAACTTTTACATCTTTCAAGTGCTCTAGTATAAGTTCATCATTTTCACCAATCATCCTATCAAGAATCTTTGCATTTTTAAAAGCTGTCAACCAAAAGCGAGGTATGCCATCTGTTTGCCCTTTGCTTTCATGCTTTTTTTCCATTTCCTCCCTAGCTGCTTCCTGAACACCTCCTTCCCACTGACATTCACCTTCTGTGGGCTCATACACTGCATTGATGATCTCACATCTCTTATCAAACAGAGACTGATTGAAGGCAAAATACTTTTTCTCAAGACTGTAAAGGTCTTTATAGAATTGGGCTTCTACTTGTGCATATTCTACCTGGAGTTTCTTGAGAGCACTGACCTGCTGCTTAACCACTGCAGACAGGCACTGAGCACGGCCTGCAAGTGAGACAGATGCACCAACAGAGGCTGCAAGGGTTGGATGACTTTGCTGCCACTTGCAGGCCTCAGCTCCGTCAAACGCACTGGCCCCCATCTCATAGAACGGTGCTGCATTAGTGAGGGACTCCTCCTTCTGGAACTTGGCTTCATCACTTTTCTCTGACTTCTGGGATGCGGACCCCTCTGCAGATTCCTCAGGCACTCTGGTGCCCTCTGCTGGGTATTCACCCTCCAAGTTCTCTGCTCCCTCTACCATGCCTTCGCCCTCCTGGGGAGTGGGTCCCTCTCTCGGGTTTTCTGGTTCCCTGGCACCATGCCTGACCACCAGGCGGCCAGTGTTGGGCCGGACGAGGACACGCTTGTTATGATAGAGACGGTGTAGAAGGGAATGGACCAAGTCTCGAAATAGGGAATGAAACTCCGCCACAGAGAACTCACGGCCATCCAGAATGACTTTGGCACCTTCCTCCTTTACCTCCACAACCTGGTCTTCCACTACATTCTCAGCATCCTGTTCCTCATCCTCACAGTCCTGCTCCTCTTCATTTCTCTCTTCATCTTCATCCTCTTCCTGTCCCTCCCCAATGTACTCCTGCTTAGCTTGCTTACCATCCCTAGCCTCCTCGACTTTGGGCCAGGCCACCTCCTGCCCACCCTCTTCCTCCCTAAAGGCTTCCAAGACCACCTGGGAAGCCCGAAAGGCTGCAGCTCCTGTGACGCCATTTGACTCTTCTACAGGCGCCACAGGGAACACGACTTGTCTGGGGGCCTGTCCTGTGTGGCCATCAGCTCTGTCCTGGCCACTTAAGATCGGGTTTTGCTCCTCTGTGGCAGACATGGCAGGAGGGACACCAGTCAGTGACTCAACTGGAGCAGCAATTGAGGCTACAGCAGCGACGCCTCAGGCGATAAAGATGGCGGCAGTCCGAGTGACTATCGCAGAGAAGAGAAAGGCCGTTGGCAGCAAGGCTTGCTGGGAAGTGGTGGGCGTGGCAAAGAAGGAGGCTGCGCAGAGGAGAACAGTCTGTGATTGGTACCTTTGGAGAACACAAGACAGGAAGGACCAATGAGCAGCCGGAGCAGCAACCCGCTAAGGCTGTGATTAAAATGGTGGTGGGCAAGACCAGAAAGATTGAGATGGGCGGGTGACAGGGGCAGAGCTTGAAAGGCTCACCAAAGGGCCACATCTCTTTCTCACAAGCTCTAAGGTCATTTACTGAGAAGGAATGATTGGCATACCCTCTGTCCAATGAGCAATCAAGGTCCTTTGGTTCTAATATTGCTCAGAATCATCTTTTTCCTCTGTGGCCCTAGGGTCGTGAGCTACCCTTTAGTGCCACACAAGTTCTGTTCATTTAATTCCACCATTGTCAGCAAAACTGTATTGTTCTAATATAGTTGTGCTCCTCGGCACACACTGTGATTCTTTCCCTGATTTCTACCTGAGATGGCTCATACCAGTAGGGACAGAGTCATAAAGTGATTGTATAGCTCAGATGTCAGCAGTGGTAAAAGAAGAGAGAAAAGAGCTACTTGGGGAGGCTAAGGCAGAAGGATCGCATGAGGCCAGGAGTTGAAGGCACACCTCAGCAATATAGAGAGACTCTGTCTCTAAAAACTAAATAAATAAAATTTAATTTTTTTCATCTTTTAGTGTTATTAAAACTACTTAGTAAAGAAGATATAAAGTTGAAATGGATACTGTCAGAACAGAGGGTTGAAATTGAAGAAATGTTAAAAACAGGAACTGGAAAGCAATGAACACTGCTGAATTCACATCAAACCTCCAAAGAATGAATACAGAAAGAGGGACACCTGTTAAAAGCAATCATGGCAAACATTAAAAGGGCAGGCTTCCTAGGATGATCTGAGAAAGTCTTAGTAAACTAAAACTTTCTGTTGCATTCAGCCCCACTAAGCCAAGACCTCAAGTGTAAAAAAGTTTTAAAATTATGGAGAAATCAAACACCTTTTCATGTTTATAATGAAAAGAAAAATGTTTTGTAGGCCGGGCGTGGTGGCTCACGCCTGTAATCCTAGCTCTCTGGGAGGCCGAGGCGGGCGGATTGCTCAAGGTCAGGAGTTCAAAACCAGCTGGAGAAAAGCGAGAAAGAGCGATGGACCCGTCTCTACTATAATATAGAAAAGAAATTAATTGGCCAAGCTGATTATATATAAACAATTAGCCGGGCATGTGGCGCAGCCTGTAGTCCCAGCTCACTCGGGCTGAGGCAGAAGACGCTTGAGCCCAGGAGTTTGAGGTTGCTGTGAGCTAGGCTGACGCCACGGCAACTCACTCTAGCCGACAACAAAGCCAGACTCTGTCTCAAAAAAAAAAAAAAAAATGTTTTGTAAATCTGATAAATATTTTAGAAAAAAGCACAGCAAATGAATTAATATTAACATAAAAGAATTACAATAGAATGCTATGAGTATCATCCAACCTGTTCTAGATGTATTAATTTGCTACGTCCCACTGAGAATGGAATGGATTATGTAAAACAGTGAGTTGAAATATTGAGATATATCGAGTTCCCGCCAGAGAGCGATAGTGAGACACGCGGCGCAGTTCTACGCTGGGCCGTGGGCCTCTGGCCTTCCAGTCCCCCCGGCTCCGCCTGGGTGAGCTGCGCCCCCGCGCAGGGGCCCCTCTGCCCTGCAGACACCCGGAGCCCTCGCCTGTGGCTGCGCCCTCCGGAGAGCCCAGGCCTAGAGAGCACAGCGAACGTCTCTGGCAAGACCAACCGTGGACCTGATGATGCGGCGGGCCTCTCAGAGGCCGGGACGTACGCTGGCACGCCTGTCTTTTGCCCAGCCCTGCCGCGCCGAGGCTCAGCCCCTCCAAGCTTCCAAACGGCGGCGCCTCGGTGGACCGCGTGTGTGGCGGGGGGAAGCATGGCGACCGCTCAAACGCTGGGAGGTGCCGGAGGGCCGTATAGGTTGGAGAGCCGGATGGAGCCGGTCTGTGGACGCAAGCTCGTCACTGTCTGTGGGCCGTGAGCTGCGCAGATGCCAGGGCTTGCTGTAGCCGCTCGTGTCCCAAGGGGGCTGCGCCCTACTTAGTCTGGACAAGACGGGAACAAAGGCCTAACGGCCGTGAAGGTAGCGGAGCGGGATGACGACGGGTGACGGTTAAGCCGGCCTTACGGCGGGTGGTGCTAGGGCCGGTTGGTCTTCGTTCTGCCCCAGACAGAAGAAGAAAAAAAACATAACCACATTTGAAATGCCCACACCCTTTGGGAAGATTTCTGGCCGATTATAGAAGAAGGCCTGTGTAAAATTATAAAAAGCTGCTCTCACTTTCCCAAGCCTTTAAAAAGAAAGCACGGTTTACTACATCTAATCCTTCCAATTGTAAAGAAGGTTGCGATGTATGATTAAAGTAGAGTTAGAAAATAACACATCTTGTAAATGCCCAGTTTTAAAAAAAAAAATCATAGGGAAAATGTCTTCTGGAGAATGACTTTGTTTGAAAGGAATGTTAGACCCCTCTGGAAGTGACACTGTCCACGTTTGTTCAGTGGGTTAAGGGACATGAGCGGAACCTGAGAAGGAAGAGAAGATTCTCGTGCCAGACTGGTCATATTAGAAGACATTCATATCATAAGCGATTGGTTTTGGTGTTTCATTGTTTTCCTCATTACTGTATATATAGTCCAAAACAAAGTATTTTTGAAATTATCTGTCTTCTAGTTCTGAAGTGGCGGTGGATAATGTTAAACAGTAGAAGTAGTAATACGCCTTTGAACCTTTGTTAGAATCATATGAAATTTTGGGGAAGTGGCCAGAAACCACCGTCGTGAGTATACACATTGTGGTTTGTGCAGGTTCAGGGGAGGAGGGGAGGACAAAGGAAGAGCTCTAGGCCAGTGCGGCTGTATATGAGGCCAAGATGTAACCGTAGTTTCCTATGTCTGTGCATTGTGTTGTACCGGTGAAGAGTAGTGTATCATTATAAGGTAACAAACAAGTCCTAATTTTACATCTAGTCTTGCTTAGATGTTAAAAGAGGTCTGGCCCAGGTGTAACAAAGTTAGAGAGTTAGTAATGTCAGCACGTCGAGTAGTGGTTGTATCATTTTTGTTTTAAATTCTGTAGAAAGATTGTCTTCGTCAAAATTTCTGAGTTGGTTGGGTGGAGGGATGAAAGTGTGGTGTAGCCGGAATCGTTGCATAGTCGTTGAGAGGACGACTCTTCATTATGATTATAATCTGGTACAATGTGTGCAGTTTCGTTCACAACTGCCGGGTGTGGTATAAGGGACCAAATAAAATCCTTTATCCAGAAAGCATCTATCGTATTAGATGTTTAGAATGCCCACGAGGTATTGTTAAGATGTAGAGGTAGTAAAAATCACCTTGTAAATGATCTTTTTGTAAATTTCGCAGAAATACTGTCGTTTTGGAAATAGAATTGTCGAAACCACTCTGGTGAGCAGTCAAGTGCGTTTTGACCATCTATACTCGTTCATATGGTTTGTGCAGAGTGGGAGGAAGAATGCAAAAGGATCATTATTCAGTATCAGTTTTCTTATGCTATGTGGCATTTTGTTGCTGTGTTTGCAGTATATGCGATATAGGTATAAGTATTAATGATAAATGAGCGGGCTGATTTGCAATATCTTGTCTCTAGATGTTAACAGAGGTGCATGTTATGATATAAGGTAGTTAGTTAAATTAGCAATTTTGGTGACACCGTTGTGTGTTGAAATTCATTGAAAGGCTGGTCCTCTGTAAATTATTTGGATATGAATGTTGTCTCGACCATTTCTAAGCATTACATATGCTGTCTGTGCCACTGGATATAAGCAGAGAGAAGATGAGAGTGGAAATGGTCAAGACCAAAAATGGGTCATATTTTAGACGATTACTCATGTATAACCATTGCTATGGTGCGTGCGAGTTCTGTTATGTTTAGACAGTTCTGTGTACATAGTGACAAGTTCTTATATGAAATTATCTACTCTTTCGTAGTATTTAGAAGTGCTTGATGTATGTAAAAGTAGAGAGTAGTAAAATAACACTTTGTAAATGCTTTAAAAACTGATGGGAAATATTGTGTTGAAGTGAATTGGTTAATCACCTCTGTGAACATACACTCTGCTACTTGTTCACTAGGGTTGAGGGATGGTGGGAGGGAAGAAATTGCAAAAGAGTTCTAGCTTGTGTACAGCTAGAGAATCTACATCTATCCATTTCCCTGTACATGTATGTGCATTTCAGTTTACTCGTATTGTATATTATGAGTAGTATACCGGACAAGATGAGTCCAATTTGGTATGAATATCTAGATGGTAGATATTAAAGACGTTGTTGCCATACAATGATACAAAGTGTGAGTAAGAGTAGTAATATAGCACATTTTTTACCATTTGTGTTAAAATTCATAGAAAAGGGCTCTTCTGAAAAACTCTGAAGTGACAGGTATGATAACATCATATCTGAAGTACATATAGTTTTTGTGCCTTCTGTTGTGATATAAAAGATGTTGGATTGAAAGTATATAGCAGAGCCGAGGAATGTCGTTTAGAGTTCTTATCTCTCTATGTTTTTTTATCTCTATCTATTGATTCAACACCCTACTGTGGTATATAGGACTGAACTTAAGTCCTTAATTGAAACATCTAGCTCTTTTCTCAGATTTAGAAGTGCAGCGAGGTATGTAAAAGTTAGAGTAGTATAATAACACATTTTGTGTAAGCCTTTGTTAAATTCACCTGAGAGATATCTGTCTGTGAAATTGATCAATACACTTTGCTGTAGGCATATAGATATTTTTGTGTCCTGTTCAGAGGAAAAGAAAGAAAGTGCAAGCCGGCGCGTGGCTCGAGCCTGGTAATCCTAGCTCTTGGGGAGCGAGCGGCGATGCTCATATTGTGTATGTTCTATTTTTATTATCCAGGCTTGATGCTATATGTATGCAAGACCCGTCTCTACTAATAATAGAAAGAAATTAATCGTGGCCTTTGGGTGCCAACTGGACGGTGACCTTATATAAAAATTAAGCCGGGCATGATGGCACGGATGGCCTGTAGTCCCAGCTTCGGAGGCTGAGGCAGAGAAGGAGTCTGCTCGAGCCCAGGTTTGGGTTGCGGGGGGCTAGCGACGAGGCGCCGGTAGAGGCACTGCGATTCTTAGCCTGGACAAGCGAAATGCAGACTCGTCTCAAAAAAAAAAAAAAAAGAAAGAAAAAAAAAAGAAAGTGCAGAGGGCTTTATACCAATGTGGTTATGGTGAGGTGAGACTGACTATTGTCCCTTATGTCTGTGCATTTTATTTTACTTTGCTGTGTATATAGTGTATATAAAGGACTAATGAGTCCTAATTTACAACATCTAGTCTTTCTAGATAAAGAGGTTGCCAGTGTATGACAAAAGTAGAGTTTAGTGAACTAATGCATTGAGCAGACTTTGAGTTAAAATTCATAGAAAAGATTTTTCTTAAAAATACTTACTGAAGTGAAATTGTTAAAATCCCCTCTAAGCATTACAGATGCTTAGACCTGTCCACTGGATTGCTAGAAGGTAGAAAGGGGAAGAGTTCTAGGCTAGAATGTTCCTACTTAGAGGACATTTTGAGATTGTAGCTTTTGTTATGAGTGTGCATTCAATGCTATTGTGTATGGTGGGAAAAAACTTAAGTCCTATTTGAAACATCTAGTCTTTCTTGATGTTTAAAAGTGTACAACATATGTTAAAAGTAGAGAGCTAAAGTAATACCCTTTGAGTGTTTTTTGTTATTTCATAGAAGTGGTTGCATTTGGGGAATGGAATTGTTAAACTTGATGTCTTAGAGAGTATGCTGTCACTGGGCGGTGGGGGAAGGAGAGGAGAAAATATGCAGAGAAGGATTCTGTGCCAGTGAGCTAGATTAGTTAACCATTGTTCTATATGTGCATTTAAGTTAATATGCTGTGTATTAAAGGATAAACAAATCCTAATACTCAAAATATGTTAAAAATAGAGCTAGTTAAATAATCCCTTTATATATGTCCTTTTGTTAGTTTTTAGGAAGGACTGTCTTCTGGGAGTGACCTTTGTTAATCCACCTCTTGGAGCTAGACTTAGTCCTGTACTTAGTCGCTGGAGTGGGGGAAGAGGAAGGGGTGAAGGGAAGGGCTCTTTGCTATTATCTCCATATCTAGAAGATGGCTTTAGATTATAACCATAGGTCTATATGTGCATTTTTAGTAAAGTATCTTTATTGTGGACAAAGTTCATTATTTTGCAACATCTAAGCTTTGGAAGATGTCTTGAGGTGACAATGTATGATAAAAAGAACTAGTGAATAGCCATTTTGTGATTATCTTGGTAATAATTGATAGAAGAGATGCATCTTGGACATGGAATTGTTAAACCACCTCTGAGCAGTGTATATCAGGACTTGTTCATTAGGTTGGCAGCAGAGGAGCAGAAGGAAGTATGAAATGAGAGAAGTATGCAGATGTGTTCACATTTACATTTTGATGATAGCCATTGATGTGTGTGCATCCCTTTTGGCTATACTATAAGAATATATTCAGTAATTCAATAGAAACATACCTCCTTGCTAATATTTTAATGATATAGATCTGATAAAGAATTTTCTTAGAAACATCATACTTAGTGTTCTCTATTGCTTTATGTTTGATTTTAAATTGAGCATTAAGGGAATGAAGTATTTTAATCGGAACTCTGCCAGTACTTTTATCTAGAGGCCTGTTGCCATTTTTGTCTTCTATGAAATTTTCGTCCCAAGAAAGGCAGGATTACATTTTTTCCCTAACAGATTGAGTTGGTGTAGTGTATTCTTGATAACATTTTTGTACTTTGGTTTAAAATTCATAGAGGGCTGTCCTTCTGAAAGACTTCTGGAAGTGAAATGATAACATCCATCTGAGTGACACATGTGCCTATTCCACTGGTTGTTTGGTGAAGAAGAGTTGGAAGAAATGAAGGATTCTAGACCAGAATGTTCTTTTTTATAGAAGACACTTTCAGCTATACCATTGTTACATGTGTGTATTCAACACTACTGTGTATATAGAGACAAACTTAGTCCGTTTTTTTTTTTTTTTTTTTTTTTTTTTTTTTTTTTTTTTTTTTTTTTTTTTGTTTCTTAATGAAACATAGTCTTTCTAGATGTTTAGAAGTGCCAAGTATGTTAAAAGTAGAGTAGTAAATAACATTTTTGTAGACTAACCTTCTGTTAAAATTCACAATACGGCTTTTGGAATTGATCAAACCACTTGTCTGAGCAGTATAGATATTTGTGCTGTTCAGGAGGGCCTGGTCTTTTGGCCCAGCCCTGCCCGGCCGAGGCTCAGCCCCTTCCAAGCTTCCACAACGCGGCGCCTTCGGGTGACCGCGTGTGTGGCGGGGTGGGAAGCATGGCGACCGCCCAAACGCTGGGGAGGGCCGGAGGGCCGTTAGGGTTTGGAGAGCCTGAGGAGGCCGGTCTGTGGACGCAAGCTCGGTCACCTTCTTGGGCCGTGGAGCGGCGCAGATCTGGGTCTTGCTGTGACCGCTCTGTCCCAACGGGGCGCGCCCTACTTAGTCCTGACAAGGACGGACAAAGGCCTTAACGGGCCTGGAAGGTGAGCGGAGCCGGGATGACGACGGGTGGAGCGGTTAGCCGGCCTTCCGGCGGTTGGTCTGGGCGGTTGGTCTTCGTTCTGCCACCAGACGGAAGAAAAAAAAACATAACCACATTTGGAAATGCCCACCACCCTTTGGGAAGATTTACTGGCCGATTATAGAAGAAGGCCTGTGTATATAATATGAAAAAGCTGCTCTCAACTTTTCCCCCAACCTTTTAAAAGAAAAAGTTTACTACATCTAATCCTTCTAGATGTAAAGAGGTTGCCGATGTATGATAAAGTAGAGTTAGAAAATAACACATCTTGTAAATGCCCATTTGTTAAAAAAAAAAATCATAGGGAAAAAATGTCTTCTGGAAATGACTTTTTGAAATGGAATTGTTAGACCACCTCTGGAAGTGACACTTGTCCACGTTTGTTCAGTGGGTTAAAGGACATGGAGCGGAACACCTTGAGAAGGAAGAGAAGATTGTGTGCCAGACTGGTCATATTTAGAAGACATTTTCATATCATAAGCATTGTTTTGTGTTTCCATTTTATTCCTCATTACTGTATATATAGTTCACAAAACTAAGTACTTTTTTGAAATATCTAGTCTTTCTAGGTGTTCTGAAGTGCCTGATATATGTTAAAAGTAGAAGTAGTAATACCCTTTGTGAATACCTTTTTGTTAAAATTCATATGAAATTTGGAGGGGGAATGGCCAAACCACCTCTTGAGTAGTACACATTGTGTTTGTGCAGGGGTTCAGGGGAGGAGGGAGGACAAGGAAGAGCTCTAGGCGAGTGCGCTTATAGTGAGGCAAGATTAACCGTAGTTCCTATGTCTGTGCATTGTGTCTTACCTGTGAATATAGTGTATATAAAGGACAAACAAGTCCTAATTTACATCTAGTCTTTCTAGATGTTAAAAGAGGTTGCCAGTGTATGACAAAAGTAGAATTAGTAAACTAATATAGTTTGTACATTTTTGTTTTTAAATTCGTAGGAAAGATTGTCTTCTCAAAATCTGAGTTGGGTTGGTGGAGGAGGGAAGTGTTCTAGGCCGGAATGTTCATATTTTGAAGACACTTTCAAATTATAACTGTTACATGTGTGCAGTTTATTCACAACTGCTGTGTATATAGTGGACAAATAAAATCCTTACCCAAAACATCTAGTCTATCTAGATGTTTAGAAGTGCCCAATGTATGTTAAATGTAGAGGTAGTAAAATATCACTTTGTAAATATCTTTTTGCTAAAGTTCACAGGAAATACTGTCTTTTGGAAATAGAATTGTTAAACCATCTCTGTGAGCAGTATACTACCATCTATACTCGTTCAATGGTTTGGAGGAGGTGGGAGGGAAGGAATTGGCAAAAGGACATTATCAGATATCAGTTTTCTTATGTATTGTGCATTTTGTTTTGCTGTGTGTATATATGGATATATATAATGTATATAATGGATAAATGAGTCCTGATTTTGCAATATCTTGTCTCTAGATGTTAAAGAGGTTGCCAGTGTATGATAAAGTAGTTAGTAAAATTAGCACATTTTGTACACTTTGTGTTGAAATTCATATGAAAGCTTGTCCTCTGTAAATTACTTTTGGATATGAATTTGTTCGACCATTTCTAAGCATTACATATGCCTGTACTTGTCCACTGGATATAAGGCAGAGAGAAGGAAATGGAATGGTTCAAGACCAAAATGGTCATATTTAGACGATACTTCAGATTATAACCATTGCTATGTGCGTGCAGTTTTATTTAACAGTGCTGTGTACATAGTGGACAAGTTCTTATATGAAATATCTACTCTTTCTAGGTATTTAGAAGTGCTTGATGTATTTAAAAGTAGAAGTAGTAAAATAACACTTTGTAAATAGCTTTTAAAAACTGATGGGAAATATTGTGTTTGGAAGTGGAATTGTTAATCCACCTCTGTGAACAATACACTCTCTACTTGTTCACTAGGTTGAGGGAGGTGGGAGGGAAGAAATTGCAAAGAGTGTTTAGCTTGTGTACACTAGAGAATCTCAGCTTATCCATTGCCCTGTACATTATGTGCATTTCATTTAACTTTGCTGTATTGTATATATTGTATATATACCGGACAAATGAGTCCCAATTTTATAATATCTAGTTGCTAGATATTAAAGAGGTTTTCATACAATGTATGACAAAAGTAGAGTTAGTAAGATAACATTTTGTACATTTTGTGTTAAAATTCATAGAAGGGCTGTCTTCTGAAAAGGACTTCTGGAAGTGAAATGATAACATCACATCTGAGTGACACATGTGCCTATATCCACTGGGTTGTTGGTGAAGAAGAGTTGGAAGAAATGAAGGATTCTAGACCAGAATGTTCTTTTTTAGAAGACACTTTCAGCTATAACCATTGTTACATGTGTGTATTCAACACTACTGTGTATATAGAGGACAAACTTAAGTCCTTAATTGAAACATCTAGTCTTTCTAGATGTTTAGAAGTGCACAAAGTATGTTAAAAGTAGAGGTAGTAAATAACACATTTTGTAGATAACCTTTTGTTAAAATTCACTAAATACTGGCTTTTGGAAATTGATCAAACACTTGTCTGAGCAGTATAGGATATTTGTGCTGTTCAGGGAGGAAAGAAAAGAAAGTGCAAAGGGCTTTATACCAATGTGGTTATGGTGAGGTGAGACTGACTATTGTCCCTTATGTCTGTGCATTTTATTTTACTTTGCTGTGTATATAGTGTATATAAAGGACTAATGAGTCCTAATTTACAACATCTAGTCTTTCTAGATAAAGAGGTTGCCAGTGTATGACAAAAGTAGAGTTTAGTGAACTAATGCATTGAGCAGACTTTGAGTTAAAATTCATAGAAAAGATTTTTCTTAAAAATACTTACTGAAGTGAAATTGTTAAAATCCCCTCTAAGCATTACAGATGCTTAGACCTGTCCACTGGATTGCTAGAAGGTAGAAAGGGGAAGAGTTCTAGGCTAGAATGTTCCTACTTAGAGGACATTTTGAGATTGTAGCTTTTGTTATGAGTGTGCATTCAATGCTATTGTGTATGGTGGGAAAAAACTTAAGTCCTATTTGAAACATCTAGTCTTTCTTGATGTTTAAAAGTGTACAACATATGTTAAAAGTAGAGAGCTAAAGTAATACCCTTTGAGTGTTTTTTGTTATTTCATAGAAGTGGTTGCATTTGGGGAATGGAATTGTTAAACTTGATGTCTTAGAGAGTATGCTGTCACTGGGCGGTGGGGGAAGGAGAGGAGAAAATATGCAGAGAAGGATTCTGTGCCAGTGAGCTAGATTAGTTAACCATTGTTCTATATGTGCATTTAAGTTAATATGCTGTGTATTAAAGGATAAACAAATCCTAATACTCAAAATATGTTAAAAATAGAGCTAGTTAAATAATCCCTTTATATATGTCCTTTTGTTAGTTTTTAGGAAGGACTGTCTTCTGGGAGTGACCTTTGTTAATCCACCTCTTGGAGCTAGACTTAGTCCTGTACTTAGTCGCTGGAGTGGGGGAAGAGGAAGGGTGAAGGGAAGGGCTCTTTGCTAGTATCTCCATATCTAGAAGATGGCTTTAGATTATAACCGTTAGGTCTATATGTGCATTTTTAGTAAAGTATCTTTATTGTGGACAAAGTTCATTATTTTGCAACATCTAAGCTTTGGAAGATGTCTTGAGGTGACAATGTATGATAAAAAGAACTAGTGAATAGCCATTTTGTGATTATCTTGGTAATAATTGATAGAAGAGATGCATCTTGGACATGGAATTGTTAAACCACCTCTGAGCAGTGTATATCAGGACTTGTTCATTAGGTTGGCAGCAGAGGAGCAGAAGGAAGTATGAAATGAGAGAAGTATGCAGATGTGTTCACATTTACATTTTGATGATAGCCATTGATGTGTGTGCATCCCTTTTGGCTATACTATAAGAATATATTCAGTAATTCAATAGAAACATACCTCCTTGCTAATATTTTAATGATATAGATCTGATAAAGAATTTTCTTAGAAACATCATACTTAGTGTTCTCTATTGCTTTATGTTTGATTTTAAATTGAGCATTAAGGGAATGAAGTATTTTAATCGGAACTCTGCCAGTACTTTTATCTAGAGGCCTGTTGCCATTTTTGTCTTCTATGAAATTTTCGTCCCAAGAAAGGCAGGATTACATTTTTTCCCTAACAGATTGAGTTGGTGTAGTGTATTCTTGGTTATCCAAATACTCACATAGCTTTGGGATTTTCAATTGGTAAATATTCATGATGTGTGAAAAAGCATGATGCATACTGTACTATCTCAATCCCATAAAATTGGATGTTGTGTATGTGTCAGGATCTAGAAGGACATGTCCAACTGTGAAATGCTTGTGATTGTGGATGACTTTGTTCTTTGCTTCTCGTGTTTTTACATTTCCTATATTGCATATATTAACTTTAAAAAAATAAAGGTTATTTTAAGGTGAAAAAAATAAATATTAAATATAATGTAGAAAGGGTAATTAATCAGATACAGAGAAAGTCAATGGCCCTGAGTGGACCAGACCAGCCTGTCTCCACCCCATTTCCTGCACCTTTAATCAAAAAAACATTGCCAGGGACTGAGAAGCAGGTACCACAATTTTTTGGAAACAAGGATCTCAAAGTCAGGGGAAAAGGCTGAATTTGAAATGGATTCATAGCTTAAGCATCTTTATAAGTAATATATTTACTATAAAAACTGTGTCATTGAAAGAATCAGGAGGGGTCATAGTGGGTGGGCTTCTCTCAGGAAAGGAGGGAGGACTTAAGATGGACTTCAAAATAGGCTGCAGATGCCTCAATGGGAAGCACAGTTTTCACTTTGCCTCCCTCAAAATGTGCTTGTTGTCTGAGAGTGTCCTTGACTCTCTGCTTATGGATTAAATGTTTCTGTGCTCTCCAAAAGTCATGTCGAAACTTAATCTGCAAAACAAGAGGAGGGGCCTTTAGGAAGTGAATAGATAGTTAGGATCATTAAATGGATTAGTGCCTTATAAAAGGGATTGAGGGGGGCAAATTTGCCATTTCTGTTCCTTCTGCCATATGAGGACACAGCGTTCATCCCCTCTGGAGGATGCAACAACAAGGCACCATCTTGGAAGCAGAGAACAGCCCTCACCAGACACCAAACCTGCTGGTGTCT